CAAACGGCTTCACTGCCAGAAGATGGCACTTGTGTTTAACTTGTACATTACTCTGTGTAGTGACAGCTGCCCTGTTCCTCACTCCTCTGCACGGAGACACGGTGCAGGGCGGGCTGGTGGGAACACCTTTCTGGCGGGAATGACCATCCTTAAGTCAGCTGCAGGCAGGATAAACATCCACAGCCTCAGAGAGAGGGAGCTCAGGTGCAGCCCCAGTGGCATTTGCTGGTGCTGAAGTGACAAGAATGGTGCCCTGAGATGGTGTCACCTGGGCAACACCTGGACCAGTGCTGGGATGAACTGCAGGAACTGGTAAACCAGTAATTCACACCAGGCTTGTCTGGCAAATCCCAGAGCAATCTGATGGGCTGCTGCCATCCACACAGACCAGTGGAGAGTTCCTGGCACAACAAGCGTGATGCCATGCGAAATAAAGATCATGGTTTTAGTATGAATTGCAGTGTGCCCACAAAGCACCACCCAGGCACTCTCTGCAAGGGCCCAAGAAAGCCACTGATGAGTGCAGGCAGAAGAAGGATGCGCCTCTGTCAGAGGAAGGCAGGGCAGCAGCTGGTTCTTTTCCACAGTGTGGGGAATTGACGTGTGCCTGTCCCACAGAGAAGTCCCTGGCAGTGATTGCAGAAAGGCTCCTTGCCTGCATGCCAGCATCATGGCCTGGGAATAAGGGGTGTGCCATGGAAATGCTAAATTGGGCAAGAGCTACTGCCAGGAAAGGTCCAAAATCCCTGGAAAGAGTGGCTGTGGAGGAATCCAGGAGTCCTCCTGTCCCACACTGGGGGGTGGGCAGCACCAGGGATCTCCCACTGAGCTTTCTCCTTTCCAGCTGCAGGATCCCGGCCTGAACCACACCTCCTGGGGCCCTGAGCCACTTGCCCTGAGCACAGGGGACAGATGAATAAGCCCACATGTGGGAGCTGAGGCATGTGCTGGTTAACAGGAGGGGACACCATGCTCTTGTGCTCATGTGAGTGAGCCTTTGGCCCCAGAGCCAACATCTCACTGACAGGCTGCTATTGACACAAATGATGGCAGGTGTGTGGCAGGTCGAGTTCTTCTTATGGTTCTTCTTATGGTCAAATAAAAGCTCATCCTTGTACCTCACTTCTAATTCCTTAAGGGATGGCACTGCATTTCACACCAGCACAGCAATCTGTGTTCTGCTGCTGCCACAGTTCAGGTTTATTTTTGTGTCATCAGCAAGTATCAGTCAAATGATCCTGTTTTGCCTGAAAGTAAAAGGTTGAAGCACTCAGCCTCCAGGAAGCAGCTGGCACCTGTGACCAGCCCTGCAGCACCTACTCAGCACTGGCCAATGTGACCTTGACCTGGCTGGGCTTGGCCCTTCCCCACCCATCCTGTGAAGTTCAAAACATGTCAGCACTCTCTGCTGTAAGATGCTCTCTACCCTGGTAGTTCACCAGCAATTCTACTGAAGTCCGGAAAGATCAGCACTATGCTATCTGGCCAGCCTAGTAAATCATTTTCTGGGCACTCAAAAGATGCTTTTGTTCTGGTAAGGGGCACTGCGATGCTCTGGAGAATATCAGATCAATCACAGAATCACAATTGATGAGTGCAATGACCTTCCAATGCTGAGTTGGAATGGCCACAAGGATGATGGGGTCCAACTCCTGGTCCTGAACAGAACATCCCGAAGAGTCACACCCTGTGCCCAAGAGCACTGTTCAAACACATCTTGGTCTCTCTCAGGCTTGGTGCTGTGCCTGCTGCCCTGGGGAGCCTGTTCCACTGCACAACAACTGTCTGGCTGAAGAATCTTTTTCTAATATCCAACCTAAACCTGCCCTGACACAACTTCAGCGTTGCATCACTGCACCAGCAGCATCGCCCGCAGCAGCAGCATTCCCGTGCAGAACACAGCAGGTCGGCAGCTGCTCTGGGGATAGCGACGGTACAGATCCACTGGCTTTACAACTGAGCTGTGGGCTCTGAAAGTGCTTTCAGCTTTCCAAGCGCAGCTCTCGGGATGCAGGCGGCACTAGGACCTGCCTGGAGCCTCTAGCCCCAGCCCGTAGGGAGCGGAGAAATCGAGCAGAGCGCGGGGGCTGCGGGCGGTGCCGGCGCTGGGAGCCCCGCACGGCGGCCGGGGCGCGGCGGGGCCGGGGGTGCCCCGGGGGTGCCCCGAGTCCGCCGATGCTGCAGCTCTGCCAGGTCACGGCCTCGCTGCTGCTGGGCACGGCCAGGGCGGCGTGCGACGAGGAGCTGCTGGCCCGGGAGGGGGTCACCTTCTGCATCAATGTCACCCGGCAGCAGCCGTTCCCCGGCCTGCGGGGCGTCCGCGGCATCCGCGTGGCCGTGCTGGATGACCCGGCCGAGGATCTGTACCGGCACTTCGAGCCCTGCGGAGCCGCCATCGAGGAGGCCGTGCGGGCCGGGGGCCGCTGCCTGGTGTACTGCAAGAACGGCCGCAGCCGCTCGGCCGCCATCTGCACGGCTTATCTCATGAGACACCGGCGGCTCCCGCTCAAAGACGCCTTTGAGGTAACGTGCCTACATCCAGGTTCATATTTACAGCTCTTTTGGGGGAAAATGCAATGCTTCTTATGAGTAATGATGATTTAATGTAGAATTATTTTGGTGCTTTCACCTGCCCATCACCAGTTATAGAGATTCCACATTTGAACAAACGGTTCTCTGTTTTTTCATTCCCAGTTTGGTCTAGTAAGTTTTCAGTGTGGGGTTTCTAGGATGAACATAAATACAAATACAAATAGGCTTTAAGCACAGGTAGCAAACATACAAAGCTGGTTGCTTAGTGAACATTTTCTCTATCATTGGCACAGTCATGATAAGTGAAGACAGAGACATAAAGTGAGTGGGTGCAGGAGCTGTTATGCAGGGATTGCTCCCATGTGACAGCTCCACACAGCAAAGAAACATCCTATTAGGGCTGCTGAATGCCCAGGGACCTGCTAGCTATCTGCCATAGCTATATTGCTATCAGCAATCACATGTCAGCTTTCCTAGGAAGCCAATCCAACATAAACTACTTGTGCTCAATGGGTTTTTAGTCTTCACCCATTTGTATCACTTTAGATAGCAAATTTGCTTAATTTAAACTGAGGTGTGCAGAGAGTGACCAATTTTCACACTATCACTGCACTTCCAGTTTCCAGCAAATCAACAGCTCTGTCTCATGTCCTGCCCATGAACGTGTTCTGTAACCTGGCCCATGAGCAAGCACAGAGTGAAGTCAGCTCACCAAAATAGCTGCTTGTTACTCTGTAGCCAAATCAAAATCAAAGTAAATCTTCTCAAAATTTTAAGTTCAAAATTCATCTGCATGACTCCCACAAGTGCAGGATACCTTGCTTCTACCATGTCTCTCCTGTTCTCTAGGTTGTGAAAGCTGCCAGACCCGTAGCAGAACCGAATGCAGGATTTTGGTCTCAGCTGCAGAGATATGAAGAAGATTTGCAGATACCAAAGCAGCCTGCTCTGCTGAGCAAAGGACTTAAAAATAGCAATGTGTGAAGATACTTTAAAGAAAGTGAAGTGACTTGCTACAGACTTTGAAAAAAAAGGAAAAAATTAATTTCCTAAATAATCTGTATATAAAACACTTTACACCCATAACTGAGTTGATGGTTCATTAAATTCATTCAGAGCATTTCTGTTGGTAATGCATGGAAACAGGGCAGATAAGCAAGGAATAACAGCAGAAAGAGAAAATGGTTGGGAGGACTGTAAAGAAAGCAGGGAAAGGCATGGAATCTTCAGCAGTCATTTTCCCCTGAATGACACTGAATATGGTAACAATTTACTGAACGAAGGAAGGAGCTACCACACTGGGATTTCATTCCTGTTTTTTAATTAAACTTCCCAGTGCTGCCATTAGAGGACATGATGCCAGACCAAGGAAGTTTAGAATTTCTCTCTCACCTACTGGATCATTATTCATGTTAATGAGCTGACACAGCCTTTGGTGGGAAACTGACAGTGGTTGGTGCTTTATCTCTGCGAGTTTCCCTATGTTCAACTAGAACAAAGTACCTTCACAAACTACCTACAAATCCAGAGGGCAGAATATACAGATGGTGGTAAGGTGTTTAGCTCCCACCACGCTGGCTAAGCGCCTTTTCAGCTTTTGAAATTATTCTCTAAAACACCAAAGGAATGACTTTAAAAACTGCAGATGGTAGTGGAGGGAAGAAGATGACACGGGCAATCTAGAAGTAATCAGCTAAAATCGTTTTAGGTTTACTTACTAAGTCTAACAGTGCCCAGTTCATGCCTTAATGTGTCAGTTTACAAGTCAGCTTTTCCTGCATGTAAGCAACATGGCAAAATAATTTCTGCTGAGACTGCTTGCAGGTTGCCCTCTGAAATTATCTATTGAGAATGAAACTTCCAGATTAGACTGCTATGTGTTTATCATTAGCCATTCAAAACAGAGTTTTGTCAAACTGTATAAATACATTTGTAATTTAAAAGGGACAAGTTATGGGACCTGAGAACCTACAGAGTGAAATTCCATTCCACCTTGCTGAAAGCATTAATATGAAGTAAAGTTAGCTCACTGCCATCTGCCTAAGTGCTCACACAGGGTAAACATATGCTCCCAGCAGTGGAGGAGTTCAAGGCAGAAATTCTAATGATGGAACAATGACAGAAAATAAAACCACTGGGGAATTTCATGAATTAGACAATTCAGATGCAGTAAAAGTTTCCAAAGTTAAAGACTGCTCAAAGTTAAAGTAGTGTTATTTTAAAAGCTGAAACCATAGAAATAAAAATAAAAAAATCAGGCTATCATTTTCTTAGTTACCACAAGGCATTTTCACCCCAGATGTTTTCTCCATTCCCAGCTGTGTTTTGTTCATTCTGTATTGTTTATCTTCTGTATCTGCATTACAGCCAACAAGAAATTTGTAGCATATCTGCAAATTTGAAGGTGAGTGGTTGCTAGAAAAAATTTTGTAGCTTTTATAAACCTTGACTATCATATATAAGAAGAATTTCAGTATAACATAATATCTTTATTAGAGGATTCCACTCGTAAAAAATATCTGTTTCAGTCTGTGGAACAAAGTTTATTTCTTGTCAAAAGCTTAAGCTCTAAAAAAGAAGGAAGCTAAACATTAATGAAAACACAACACATTTCTAACTGTGAGGCATATGAACTTGCAGTTAGATACAGCTATCAGTTCCACATGTTTGAGTCAGCTGAAATAGAAACCATTGCTCTTGAGTGTCAGCATATACTGCGCTCTGGTTAAATTTTACCAGGCTTCTCAGCATGCAGAAAACCTTCATGCCACAGCATTTCACATCACGGCATCTTCTGTAGAAAGCTTTTTACATTCCTATTTACATCGAAAGCCGTATCTCCTTCTGGTTCTGCTCCAAATTAAGGCATATGATTGCAACTTGGAACCAGAACAAAGAAGTAGTTTGCTTCCTTATTTGAGTTCATCACCCACTAACGCTACTGACACAGAATGGAAGCTCAGACGTACTCCTTGTTGCTTATGATGGTCTCAGAGTTCCTGGGGTACCTGTGTGGCTGAGAAGTTGCCTGGGCTGCTGAATATGTATATTTTTTAGGACTGTAAATCAAGAAAAAAAACCAAAATAATAGGTATTAGACACATGCCCATGGTTTCAGATACTTAGAAGTTACTCAGTTAGCTTTGTATCCAGCCCACCCACAGCACGTTCTTCACAGCAGGGCACAAATTAGAGGCCTCCTGTTCTCATTGTTCTGGTAGCTGAGGGGGCAATAGATGGGGTCCCTGATGGGCTGCAGAGCCCATCTCTCTCAACTTCAACCACACTCTGGCAGTGTAACCCCTTTGAAAGTTTCCTGCCAAATTTGCCCCAAATCAAAACAATTCCTAACACTCATGTGCTCTTCCTCGAGGCATTTCAGTCAAGGCCCTTAAGTAGAAGCCCTCAGCACCTTTGTACAAGCTGCAGGTTTTAATACAGGAATCAAGATGACAAAGAAAGAAAACAGAAGTATCTTCACCCAACCCCTTCAATAGTTATTCATCCCATTGAAATTCTATTTCATGTATTCAGTTTCACCTGATTTTCAGGACATTTCAGGGCATTTGGTACTTTGTATCAAAGCAAGGTGAGCAAGATCTAAAGTCCAATGGCTGATGAAATATTACCATAAAACTGAAATGGTTTCAGATTAGGCAATGGAGTATCAGAGCAACACTCACTTACTACATTTTGATATAACTTTCCTAAGATTAAATACACCAACAGTGAATATGCTGCTCCTTGTACATTATAATCCTCTCAAGCTTAGCTAGTACAACCTCCAAACTATTTGAGTTCTGGTAGAGACGGACCTCTGCCATTTCTGCCTATTTCATCCCTCTCCTTCAAAAAGAGGCCTTCTATATGTGTCAAAATTTAAGGCTGAAACAAAAATGTAGGGAAGGTTAAATATTGAGGACAGAAATCTCACTTTTTCTGATCTGATGTGGGGCAAGACATTTTCATAAAGAACAAGAAAAAACCCATGTTTCTAGTGATCAATTCCATGTGCTTTGGGAAATGCCTTTACACTTTCTGCAAATTGAACGGTGTTTGAATATTTTACTCACAGTAAATACTGTAGAGAAACTGGATTGTAATAAATTATGGGGTTTTATATACTTTTCTTTTGGTGACAGTTTGCTCTTTCACTGCCCATTTTCACTGTCAGCAGTGCCCAGAATTACCAAATACAAGTTAGAGGTGACTGCTGATGGTGAAGCATCAAGTACCCTGTCTGGGAGGTACAATTGTTTGGTACAGCATCCCCTGCCATCACCAGTCTGTAACATGCCATAGCACTGTTTGTAATTTATACATGTTTATACCAAGGGGTGAGAGACAGAATAGTGCATAGGTAGAACGTGGTATGTGATTGACAGCTACTACTTCACCTGACAAATCCAAGATTACCTGTAATTCTGCTTTTCCTTCCCTTTGCACGAACAGGTCAGCAAGATCCCACCAAGTATATAAAGGACAGATCCAGCCCAGCCTAAGTACAGAGCTTCTCCTAGTTCATACCTGAAACATGAAAGATTTTATGGAAACAATTTATGACAGGATCACAAAGCCATGCAAACAAATTCTTATCTGTGTAGAAATCAGCTAACTGAAAGGCACTTCAACAGTTGTTAACAGAGAACAGATCTGGCTTCATGTCTGCTCAGAAAAACTCTTATTTGTATAGAGTTGCTCTGCCAAATTAGTGGCAGTACAGAGAGTACTAAGCAACATAAAGTAGCAATAAATAATTGTGTACATCTAACAAATTGCTGATAATAAATAATAATGACATACCTCCTGTGCAATCCACAACACTTATTTTGCCCTTTTATTGGCTGTGTCACTGAAATGATTCTGTGAAACTGAATGATTCACATTTTACTGTCTATATGCTGAGAAAAGGCTGACCACAGACATCAGTTTTCTATGAACACAACACTAGGTCACTTGCAAGTAGCTGGTTCTATAGGGCTAGTTTTCAAACTTAGATACCCTAAAGGATATTCAGCACCCTCTGTGGTTGTATGGCTAAAAGGCATTTATGAATATGCCAGGCTGAAAAAGAATAATTCCCTATCTTATAAAACTATACTTTCAGGAAACCCTCTAGTTCAGTCTAAGAAATTAATTGATAATGAATTGTCCCAAAGACTAGAGACAACTGAGTCTGGAAGAGTCTGGCCGGAATTTCATAGAAAGAGGAAAACAAATTTTTATGATGAGAGAGAAACTATATCCACAATCCACCTGTATATCTGTGCTCTGAGATACTCAATATAAGGGCAAAATAAGTGTCATGGACTGCATTGAAGGTACCATGGAACCAGAGATTTGTGTTTTCTTTCCACTTGGAAACACAATTATTTAAAAGTGTCAAAGTTTCTGACTCTGGAATTCATTGCTAACAGGAGGGTTTCAGAGATTTACACAAGTTCTCAGCTCTCAGTGTTCTCCTTGCACATGGGAGCCACAAGGTCTCCACAGGTTTAGGTTCCAAACATGGAACAAGCAGAGAGTCATTATCAAAAAACCCCAGGAGTACAAATTGCACATTGCCTAGTGCCTGCAATCATTTCTGCTCACGAGTCACCTACAGACAAGAATGCTGTAGGATGTCATACCAAAGCAAAGTATATAGGAGACATCTGCAGGAGAACTTAGTTTGCCTTCAGAGCTGTAGGAGAAACTCCTCTAAGAATTAGCAGAGGTCAACTTCACTAATTTGCTGAAGTCAGACCAAAAAAATGCAATCTGAAAAATCAGATTTTCTGGTCTCTTAAAAGTGAAGGTCAATACTGGCATGCAATTGAATTTAAACCTGTCTCACAGGCTCCATGTCCAGCTTACCAATGATCAAACTTAATTCATCAAGAACTGCTCAGTGAATGAATAGCTTAAACATAAAGCTTAGATATTAAAAAAAAAAAAAAAATTCTTTAGCTACTGAATACAAACCATCTGGTAACTGATTAACAGGCATTGATGTTGGAGCCCCAAAGCTGTAACAGGTAACTATAAAACACACCAACTATCCGACTAACCGAAATTCCTTATCAATGGTTGTTTTAGTTCTTTAATGTATTTATTACCCTTCATATAGTTCTCTCGAGGGGATATAAAGCAACAAAAAGTAACTGCACAAATACAATTTCTTTCTAAGCACTTCATTGAAAACACAGGGAAAACTGAGAAATGACAAAAGCAATTGCTTAAGGTACTTTGATTTATCACAAAGCACTTCACCTCTGACTTCCCTGAACTGATTCCTGGGTGGGAACTTACAAAACACTTCAAATACGATCCTAGCAACTAACAATTTATAGTTTACTGATCTATGAATTATATTCTTGGTAGAAGTATATTAGAGCTGTCTCATATTCCACAGAAATTTTTCCCCTCTCGTTTTCCTCCTCTTTGAAGGAGAGGCCCAGTCACCTCTACCCTTGTTGCTTATTTCTAAACAGATAAGGGTGACATAAGCTGCCATTTCGTTTTGACAACTGTTACTTTTATATCAGACTAAGAGTAAGGGCTTTTATACCTCGAAACTTGTTTCTATGCAACTGCACTAGCTGATAATCTCACAAATCGCCTCGTATTAACTCCTAAGGCAAAAAAAGTCGAGCTGTTAATATATAGACATATATAAGACAGGCAGCAAATTTCTCTGCAGGTCATTAGTACAAAGTTTGAGCTGCTTTGCATGTGGTTTTCCCCTTGCATGTATATCTGAGGTACTTTATTCTAGGCAGAACTTGAGTTTTGTACCTCTTTTTGTCTAAAGCTCAAAGCTGATTAAAAATTTTACCTTTTCTTCTTCATAACATTGAGATACTCACTTAACTGAGTCTCTCAAGAAAATGCAAACACTGTACAAAACCCCCTCAGATTCGAGGTTGGTATTCCTTCACACATTCACTAACTCTTCCAGAAAAGAACTCTTCCCCCTTTCCACCAGCATCTCTGAGGTGAAAAGATACCCTAAATACAATTTTCCCCTCCTGTAGGACTGGATAATGGGATCCTTCCAGGTTCTGAAACTCTGGAGCAGCTGAGGTTAGTGCAGCTGTCTAACACACTATGGAGTTTGGTATGACAGATACATTCACTTACTTGGTTCCAGCGTAGTGTTGGTTAAAAAACTGAGCAGTAACCATTGCAGCATACCAAGAAACAGCCACCATGGAGCAGAGACCTACCAGAAAAAGTTTAAAAAGCACACAGGTGAATGATTCCTTCAATGGCTGTAACAGATTTAAACCAAGAAAAAGTTTATTTCATTTACAAAGTATCAATAGTGCTCTCATTTCATTTATTACCTCCTAAAATAAAAAGAAATCCTCCTGTGACAGCAAACTTCATTTTTCCATCTTCATCACTCAACCCAATGTTTGTGCACTTCATACCAAGCAGTGAGAGTACTGCAGCTAAGAATCCCAAAAGGATGGAAGTAATCATCAGGGCACGGCATGCCTGAATGTGAACTAAGACAGAAAAACAGAAAACAAATCAGGATCTATACAGAAATTATATTAATCTAGTGCTGAAAAAAATAAAAGTAATTTGAGGAAGTGACAAAAATTAACAGGTGCAGTAATGAGTGAATCTTGCCCAACTGTCATATGGTTCAGAGAAGCCTCCAAACCCTAGTGTGTTTAGCCTTCAAGTCAAACAGATTTGAGAGTTGAACTATGCCTACATTTTATAAGCTCAGTAAGTCCTCTTGTGTTTTTAGTAAATCCTGAAAAACTACAGCAAGCCACTCATCCCTTACATTCCTGTGAAAATGCCTAGTGATATACATGTGATATACATGGTCGTTTGCAGGAGTAGGAAACTCTTACTCACAAGTCTTTTTGAATGCCTGACACGTGTACAGCTGAGTGCACAGGACACATCTGAAATGCAGGTCATAGTCAAGGTGTGCAAGGCTCTGGCACTATTGAGGAACCAGAGAAAGGTGCCAGCTTTGCTTCTTCCAGGGAGAGATAGGAAAGAATAGTGCTCAAGTTAGCAGTGCACTTCAAACTCACTGTAATAAACAGGATATGAGTGCATCTGAGAGCTGCCACACTCCTCCCTAGACTTTCTCCTGTGGAGAGGTTACAGCTGCTGTGGGTATCTTAGGGAAATCTGTTATGCTGGCAATTCTGCATCCTTTAAGCTCTTGGTCTTCACATCTAGGTATCAACTGCAGGAAAACCAGGACTAGATTATCAATCGGCCTAAGAAAGAAGGTCAAATGGGGACTTGGGCTCCTTCGAAATGGCACCCTGCATTTGGCAGGCTCCAGGTCAAATGGCATTTTGGTACCTTGTGAGATAAACATGCCAAGTGTCACAACTGGTAGGGTCATGTGGAGGCCCTTGAGCCTACCAGGGGAACTTCTAGGTTAATGCCCTGGAAAAGCCTACCACAGGTTTTGAGAATGTCCCACTATCTGAAGTGAGACAAAGAGGCTTCCCTCAGGGTGCTCTGCAGCACTATGTTGATCTAGCTCAGTTTCTTGTAGGTCATGCCCTTTGCCCTGCCCTTGGACCCCCCTGTGACCACAGACCATTGGCCCCTGACCCCATTCTTAACCTGGGACACTGCAGTGATTTGAGTCTTTTGTCCCTGGACTCCTTCAGCGTGATTTTGCAATAAACCTCGCTGGAACTGTATCTTGGAACTCTGGAACCTTCCAGTCTTTCTTCGCTGACCTATCTGTGGTGTAACTGTGAATTCAGTGACTGCAGCTATCCGAGCGGCTTTCTCAGAAGACGCCCTAGGAGAGGTAGCAGCAACCACCATGCAGTTCCACGCTGCTGCGGGGTCACAACTGCTAACTTTGTTGGCTTGATTATCTTGACGTTCTCTTCCAACCTACATGATTCTATGACTCTACAACTTTAATCATACGTCAGAAGGGTCAGACCGATTCCAACTGGACGCTCACATCATTGATGCCAGCATTCAAGTCCTTGCTCCCTGACCACCACCCCCGCCCCCCCATCCTCCACGATAACCTGCTGTCTAGTTCTGAACTCTAACCCTCCAGACAACAAAAATTATACAGAGACAGGAGGCAAAGTGATACTCACACTCCAACTCAGCCTAATGTGGCTTAACAGTACTGGTCCTACAAGCTTAAGAGTTACCAAAGATAGCAATAAGCACTCATGAGATAAATATACAGAATTAAAGGCTAAAATAATTTGAGGAGTTAATGCTTAAATGAAGACAGTAGTAAAAGTGGAAAGACCCCTCAAAATACCACTAACAGTTCAAGGTTTTTGCCTGCAGAAGATACTGTTAAGGTAAGTACTCAACAACGCTGCTTTCAGGTTTGGGATCTCACAGCATAGCAATCACCCAGCGGGGTCCAACAACTCACATTTCAGGTCTTGGGGACTTGTGCAGTGTTAGATGGGACTCCCCATATCTTTCCAGGACACACAAGCATGCCCTTGCAGGTGTTTACAAAGCTTTGGCAACTAGTTATTTCAAATGTTTGACTTAGTTGTGACTAGGCAGACAGGACTAGCTATATGGAGTAGTCAGTCATGGTTTCTGTCTTGTGCAATATTGCATTTAAAAAGCTCTTCACTTCAAGTATTTGTCATTTAGACTAATGGTTTAGTGAACTCAAAAGCATTAGATTGGTCTAAAAGAACCAAGTCTGGCTTTTCACATACATAAAGCAAAACCCAGTAGTATTCCACATAGCTCAGTTGCCAATAAGGAAGCTTTCATGGAAAATCTTCGTTGTCCTTTTGATGAGCGGTAACAAAGACACCTTTGTTTTTTCTATTTGCCCTGCCTCCAGTCCCTGGCATCCTCTCAGCAATTTCAGCTAAGTTTCTAAATAGAAATTTGAAACACGCCTAAACTAACCATGGTAAATGTTAGTCTGCCTTGGTAATTGCATATCTGCAAGTGTTTCTCAGAGGTCCCACTGTCTGCTGTGCCCTTGTTGTTACCAAACCCATTTTCTTCCTCTCTCCTGCTTTGCCCAGCTGTCCTTTCAACTGTTACTACCTTCCAGTGTCTTCTGACTTTTCTTTTTCAGTTTTCCTTTCTAAAAATGTTTTATCTTCACAGTCTTGCAAGCTTGTTTTTCCCTTCTCCTTCCCCCCGCCTTTACCCCTCAACTGTACTGCCATCTTCTCAACTGCAGGATTGAGCTCCTCTTCAACAGATCAAAACTAATTTTCACTAATTCACTTCAGGACCTGTCCCAGTCATTTACTTTCTGGCCCCACTCTTCTCCTTCCTGCTGACTCCATTATGTTTTCTGTAGTTCTCAGGAGCCCTGCTGTTGCTTGCCTTCTGATCTGTTTGCTTTAACACTCATGGTGCTCTTTTCTGACCCTCACCAGGTTCTTTCAGAACCACTTTTTTCTCCAGATGCTGATCTCCTGCGGGCCCATGGCCCAGATCTGCACATACTCTCAGAAGCAGCACCCCATGTAAACACATAAGTGACAGGATGCTGCCTGGAAATCAGTGGCAGTAAGCTACAAACCAGCCCTTGGAGCGGTTTTTACAAGAACCAAATAAAATCACAGAATCATTAAGGCTGGAAAAGATCTTTCAGATCATCAAGTCCAACTACTAACCCAGCAGTGCTGGTGTGCACTGACATTAATGCTCTGCAGAGGATAATGTTCGATGGAATGATCCTGCTGTTACCGAGGCTAAGATGTTTAAATTGGGTTATGTTCCTCTTCATACACACACACACCCCACACACCAAAAGCAATTTTTAGAGAAGACTGAAAGATGAAAAGAACATATTATTCCCTAAATACTGGGCACAGTTTCAGAGAACTGCCCTGCGAGTGTCAGAGCTGGCCAACAGCAAGGCTTTACTTCGGGTTGAGGGAGAAAGCGAATTTAACACCTCATTCCCACTAATCCTATGTTGCACATTCTTCAGATTAGGAGTATCCTCCTACCTGTTTAGTTTAGCCACCTTCTAGGGCAGATTCAGCTAGAAGGAAGGCATTTTTATTCCAAATACTGAATTATTCAAGATTAATAAAAAATAGCTATACTGTCTATAAACATGCTTATTATCCACAGAATATTGCCTAGCTGGGCATTTGAAAACAATCACAATTATGATGAAGGCTGATACACAGGACAGGGGCCAGCAGATTTAAATTTCTTGATATTTAAAACCACATCCAAATAGACTTCAGTTAACAAGCCCTGACAGTAGTTAGCATTAGTTAACAAGCCTAATCATATATTAATTTAGAGCATATGCTCCTTCTAAACTTATAATATGTATAACACATAATCATGTATTTCTTGAATTATCTACAATTTTCGGTCTCAACTCACAAAAAAAAACCACTACCACTTCTCAGCTAAAACCAGTATTTCCTATTACATGAAAAAACTCCAGCTACAGTACATTAGCTATGAGGTATTGCAAAAGAAGGTCTATACAATAATTCCAAATAAATAAATACTTTAAAATGTCTCTTACTAAGACATCCCATGAAATGCTAGGGAAGAGATTACAACCCACTTTAAATGCCTGTTAAACACTTGATCAACCGACTTCATTTGCCTTATTTTGTAGCCATTCTGAACACGCTTGACACATTCTGCTGCTTGAGAGATTTTTATTACTTCAGCCCACAAAGTCCTTCTTGGCCAGTTACTTTCCAGTATTAGCAGATTACCAAAACAAAAGCCTTACTACTTTTCCCAATAAGTCTTTAAGCAATATAATCAAATCTGCACAGAGTCACCTACCAGGCAGTGCAAGCATAGAGTCAAAATCCCTGCAGTTGGATACTCCAGTGCTGTCTTCTGCACAGCTCTTCCAGAGGTTTTCAAACAACGTCGATGTTGTGATCACAGAACCATGTATACTGGAGACTTTCCAGTAATTATTTGGCAAAGTAGCTCCAATAACTGCCAACCCACCCAAGCACAAAAGAAAGCCAACAATTTCCAACGGAGCAGTCATGCTTGTGAGCAGTAACAGTTAAATATCCTTATAATTAGATTACAATCAAGTGAGGCCTTTCAGAAGCCTCCTTGCTGTTTTATCTCTGGGTTTCACTCCAAAATGAGTCTACCTTTGCTCTTTGCTCTTTCCCCTTTCCCCATAGATAACGTTTACCGGGCATGACAATAAGAAGTAGGAGCAGTTAATGATAAAGATATTAATGTGTAAAAAAAAATGACAACATTAATTCTTTTTCTAATAGGAAGTGAAAAATGAGCCTATTCTTTTTCTCAGCCTAGAAAGCTCAGTCAGTATTTCTACAAAATACTTTTTAAGAGTGATAATATAGGCAAATATTTTATTTCTCTTTTCTGAAGTTGACTAGATTTTAGTTGTCTTAGATAGTCAACAAATTGCTTGTAATTTTATTATTGCTGTCAAATCAAAAAGTCCTTGTGTAATATTTTCTTGAGGATTTAAACATAAAACAGCTTGAGAACAGACGCTTTATACTTCTGCTAGAAAATTTAGCACAGTTTTTGGAGTTATGGTCATAAGTAATCCACAACAACTGTACTGCCAGCTTCTTTCACGAAGGTTAAGTTTATGGATGAGTGGTTAACATTAATATTTTACTGTCTATTGATCTATAGCTAAACACATTCAGTCTTAAAAACAGTCCCACTTACACTGTACAATTGTACAATATATTAAAATATAAGGAAATTAAGGAGTTAGTGTGACAGACCTGTCTCAAAAGGAATAAAATTATGAAGAAAAACAGCTATAAGAGAAATAATACGTATCAGCAAATTGCATCTGTTTGTTAGAAAACCTTAGGGTTAAGAAAAAGCTATTCTAGGCAAAGCATATGTTAAACTCAGTTTAGTTGCTTCTGCTCTTGGCTAGACAGAGTCATAGACTCGATTCACATTACACATTCATGTTAATATTTTAAACTACTTGTGGATCCAAACGGGGTTAACCATCTCTTGCAGTGATAATCTCCTCTTATCTCCCGGAAATGGAGTCAGAGTTTCTTCATAAAATAATTTTGCTATGATGCAACATGGTAACAGATCCACAGCATTTATGTAAACACGACCAGAAGGATTAGCCCGTGAGAGATCCATAACTTGTCCTTAACAGGTATTTGTTGGTTTTCATCAAAATTCACTGGTCACTTCGAGCTGATGCTGTAGGTTGGTAGTTCAGCTGCCAAAGGGTATTACAGTGCCACTATGACATTTTGGCTCCCATGGCAGTCAAGAGGATCACCATGGATTTAAACAAGACCAGATTTGGCAGCGTGATCCTGTGCACCTCTAAACTTGCAATCTTTTAAGGAAACCATATAGTGTGTGGTAAGAATCGATCTCAGGTAATTGTTACAGAATTCATTCTTTCTGCTTAGTCACTGCAACTTGAAAAATGATGGCATAGTAAAATAAACACACTGTACCAGTACCCTGGAGTATTTGCATTTCATTAAAAGTCCTTCAAAAGTTTCCAGCTAATTTACCCATACTCTGGTGCCATGCTGGTGATCTCAGCAATCACTTCTGCTGACAGCACTTTTAAAGATGATATAGTTAGGACCTTGTGTCCCCAGCTATTATACTGCTGCCAAGAATAGAAATTAAAAATGAAGAGTATAATTTTTTTTTAAATCTCTTCCTAGTTAAGAAATATATTTCAATAGGCAGCCATAAAGCACACATAAACAGGAAAAAATAAACTGCAGAACTGAAGTGCATGAGTTTTCCTACACAGCACCAGGCATTTTAATAATTCCCTTCAGGAAATCACTCTCCAATGTGTTAAAGAACATGAGGCTATTCTTCACTAAATTTGTAAACTATGGCTTGTCAAGCAATGGGAATAACAGCCAGTCCTACTTTGCAAGAGGCTCTGCAACAGCAGGGCTTAAAAGTTGGTGTTGACAGCTTCACACCAGCACCTTGCACATTCTGGGAGCTTTCCTTTGGGCTTGCTCTAACCTTGTCAGTTGAACCGAAAGCCATCACTGTTGGCCCCATCTCATCACTCTAATTTCCAGAAACTTAAAGCAACCTGGTATCTGCTCAGAGGAGGTCCTGAAGAGGAGCTGAACAGGTACCAGGAAAATGTGAAAAGCTGACATTGCCTCTGATGAAATGAGCAATGTTTTTAAAATCCTTAGAAGCATATGATTAGCCTCCTTTTGAGGCTACAAACTCTGACCTCGTTACAGGATGCTGATACTTATCCTTTAACTGGCATCCTCATTATGAAGGCAGATGAGGCCACCAAAGTGAGGGCCCTGTAGAAGAACCATGAATATGCTGAATCTTTAGATTTAAACTCTCACCCTTAAGATATCTGCCTTACAGATAGGCAGCTCTGACTCCAAGGAAGTCCACATCTGTGTCAAGAAAAACAAGGTTCATAGTCTGTGACACGTGATATTTTTAAGGTCTAAGCACTGCACGTTCAGAATAAATCTGCTGGAAGAGTCCAAACAAATAGCAGTGACAGCAATCAGGAATCCATAAAGCACGGAAGACTTGAAGAAATTATATTAACATCACTCATAAAAGTGACTGCACAAAACTGAAAGTTGTAAAATAATAAATGCAAGATTCTGTTTAAGACAGAAAGCTTAACAAAATACCATTTCCAAAGGTTACAGTATTACTATTTCTACACTTAGTTTGCTGAGGAAAGAACTTCGATGCCAGTCCTTCCCAGACCTTTACCATAAACATAGTGTTTACAGAAAGATATTTTTTAAATCCAGAACAATTCAAACAAATACTTTCCAGCCCCTACTGAGACATTTCTTCTCTTTCTAGCTGCAGACAACTACCCTGCTAGCATGGTCGACCCTAGAAAACACAGAAGCATCCATTGCAGAGATGTATTTTAGTGTAAGCTTGCCAAGTCTGAGAAATTCCAGAAAAAATGCCCAAGTACACAGGTTTAGCACAAAGTATCAAACCAGTTCTGGAATATCCAATAATTCCTGTCTCACACCAAAGCACAAACAAACATCAGTGCTCATGGAACTAAGATCTTCTTGTATTGAAGAACTAGGTTGAGTGAAAATATTCTATCTCTTCCAAAACTATTTAAAAGAAAAATTCTCAGATTTACTATGTATCACCCATACCTCTATTGCAACACACCAGAGAGGGCAGCAAAGCCACAGCAGTGACTGAGCTGAACTTCAAGGTGAAACGCTGGTTTCATGGAGGTCCTTTAACCTCTCTGCAACCACTAGAGGATTTGACCCTCTGGGACAGCTGCACTCTGTGCTCCCCAACCTGCTAACATATTATCCAAAAAGAAGGAATAAAACCCCATCCTTGGATTTTATAAACATCTGCCAGGACCACTTACGGTCTGAGCTCAGCATGTAGGGGAATATCTTGCACTGTAGTGATCCAACAGCAGTTGCTGCACAGTCCATCCAAAGACCTTCAGAAACCCAGTCTGCAGTAACCAGCTCTGTCTTAGTGTCCAAAATTTTCCATCTGCTGGACACAGTAGTAACAAGTAATGTGGTGAATCCTGATAAAGCCAGCAGCAATGCACAAATCTGTAGACAGGATGATGCCATTGCAACAGAAGTTTTCTTCCAAAAGTTTTCCCAAAATTTCTCGTATTAGAAATCTGTTGAAACAATAAAACCATAAAAAAATGCCTACCTACAAAATAATGTATCACAAAAGGGAACTGTAGAGCTGGAATCTAAGTCCCATTAAGTAACTGGAATAATTGAATATTCTGTACATCATTTTCTCAGAAAAACTTTTATTATTGTACGCATTTACCACAAAACAATGCAAACAGAGCAAAACCACAGAACACAACTGAAGAATTCTCTAATTTTAATTTGCAATGTTTCATCCATTTGTTACTCTTTTGCTAACTCAAAATTCATTTAAAAATTAAAACTATCAAATGCTTTAGTATATTACTCATCTCCCAATTACAATATCTACCAATACAAATTTAAAGCAAGATAAATGGTGATACTCACGTTTATGGTATGTTTCGTTTCTAACCCGTTTCCTCTACCTTCCTGTAGAGATACCAGTGTCAGCACTTTGTGAGGACCGATTCGATCACCCAAGTGGAAGTTTTGTACTCTTTAGGACCTTTGTTCCATTCTAAAAATCAAGGACCCAGGGCCAAAGCTCTGTCCAACTGTTGCACAAAGATCTGGCATGGCTTTTCACTATAGCAAAGTGTCAGTGAAATGGAAAATTACCAGAACATTACATAAATTAGTACCAAATATACTCAGATTAACCTGGCATATAATTTGCTTTGTCAGGGCCACTGAGCTGCTCAAGCACCATCAGAGTGTAAAGCACTGCAGAAACATTGCTACAACTTCCACAATGGCTGTTTAGCCTGAAATTTTTTATGCATTTGCTTTAGGATGCATCCTAAAGAAGAAATATGCAGCTGGACACCTGTCCAGTGGATGACATTACAAACCAAACTGTGATTGCCCATGACCCGAGGCAGGACAGACTTCCCGGGCTCACAGCCGAAGGAGATGTGGCAGCCTGGGACAGCTCTGCAGCCACTTTGCTGCTGCAGTTCCTCTTCTCTTTGCCTTCTCTGTCTCAAGGAGCCACCCTCACTCACCCCTTCCTGACCCTGTTGCTACCACACAAACCCAACAGGACTCTAAACCCAGATAATACTTTATTCCAACAGCACATCTTTCCCCTTTCAACTCATTCCGTGGACACTCTACCCAACAGGACCAGCTGGCACACAGTGTCATGTTTATAAGTTTGAGGTGATGGCACAGCTGATAGCAAATATGCATTGTAACTGTCCAAAGGAGAATGCCAATAAACCAAACACGAATGAATACACAAGTCTAGAGCATCATCCCTCACAAAGTACACACATAAACTAAATGCAAGTAAGAGCTGTAATGTGATAAAAACAAACTCTGGGGGAGCAAAAGAGATCACTGTAATATTAAAAACAGCACAGCCAAAATGTACGTGGTTTGAACACAGCGCAGGAAGGGTTAGCAAAGAAAAATATTGAAGTTACTTAAATAAACAAATTACCCCTGATAAGGTCTTTGAAGGCAAAAATGAGTGGTAAAAATGTCTAAAAGGGAAAGTTAAAACTCTCTTGTACTTCTTTATCATTTTGTTACATAGAAAAAGAGAAATACCATTGATTACTCACTAGTGAGTAATAGCAGTGATAGCACTGTTTTCATTTGTATATATACATTTCTAACATCAGCAATATCTGTCTTTGAACCTACTAATCGCTTCTTAGTTCAGGAAAATTCTGAGGCTGACCCATGGCCACCAGTGCAATCAGAAAGAGATAAAATGCAAATTTAAATACGGTACTAAACCACATAGCTCACAGAAGTTTTCTCTGGTCAGAGTCTGACCTTGGGTGAGAAGGCGAACACTTCACTACTAGATGGGGGGGGAAAAAGGAAATAACAAAAAAAAAAGAGGGACAATATTAATTCATTTCCTTCTACTTACAAAGAATATGACTTTTTAACTTTGCTCCTGACGTTGTTATAACATCTTAATAACCTAATCAGTCTTACAGCCACTTGCAATTACAATATACAGATCACTCTCATCTTGCTATTAACTTTGCCTTCACAAAACAAACTACAAAATAACTTGGGTTGGAAGGGGCCACACGGATGCCAACTAAAGCAGAGTTTCAGTGTTACGTCAGGTCACCCAAGCCTTATCCAGTCACAACAGTGCAGTCTCCGGAGCTGGAATTTGCACAACACTCTCTTGTGGAGCATGTTCCTCACACCCCATGCGGAACTTTTCCTGCTGTGATACGT